GATTTAAAATTTTGCAGGTAGTTTTTTAATAATAATAGGAATCTATGTATAATAACAAATTCAACATCGTTTAATATAGCCTATACATCCTTAAGTAATCTGTTCCAACTGTTCTTTCTGATCAGTTTTGTTGATAAAGAAATCTTGATTAGTTATTTTGTTAACGATTATTTAAGTATTTAATTGACTATTAATCGCTGTTAGTACAGTATCCTTCGGTGTGCTCTAAGTAATGTGTAATCAAATAATTGCTAATGACTTCTGGACTTGATTCAATCTTCAAAATTCAGTTATTAAAATACAAAATAAATTCAAAATTCAATTAACATATAAAAATAGCTTACTAGCTTATTCGTCTATACAGAATGATTTCAGTTTCATGCCTTTCTTGATGAAAATGTTTCTAGGATACTATCGCATTAACTACGACCTTGACACTTGGGAGCAAATAATCCAATTCCTGAAATCCGACCGATATTCAACGATACACGAGATTAATCGAGCAGCCCTGATCGACGATCTGCTGAATCTCGGCAGAGCTGGTGCTGTTTCTTACTCCATTGTACTGCCCGCGACGCAGTATTTGATAAATGAGACTAATTACTTCCCCTGGCGAGCGTTCTTCAACGGCTTATCGTATCTACATAAGCAGTTCGAAGGGAAAGAGGGTTACACCGCGTTCCTGGTAAGAATTATACATATAAAAATAATTACTATAACTGTAATATAATAACTAAAAATCAATACATAATTAATAGACTACAGATTTGATGCATTCATAGAAGAACTGGATATTCAATAAGTATGAAGAATACATCTAATGCGCAAAACTGTACAAAACATCAAAAATGTGGTATAGATTAACACTTATGAAAAGCAAAAGAATTTTCAATATTTAAACTAATATCACGAATATTTAAATCTGCATAAAAATCTACAGTCTAGTAATTAATGATCAGAAATATCTAATTTATACTTATAAGATATGTACATCTTTACAAAAACCGCTATTTTTCGGAAACGGTGATTGAGCATTTTTGCTTCTGGATTCGTTTTTAGTATGAGGAACTCTACATGAATCATGTAGAGGACATTGCAAAAAAATTATGTATTGTACAGTGTACTTTAGTTGCATTGTTTCTTCAAATATTTGCTAGTATTACTTTTTCTCGAATTTTCTGTCTCTGATTTATTTCTTTCATTTTGCAGCGATACACAGAAGCACTTTTGACGCCGGTGTATAAAAATCTTGGATTTGAAGACAAAGATAACGACACTCACGTGACAAAATTGTTCAGATCGCACGTTCGTAGTTGGGCTTGCAAACTGAATTTGCTCGATTGCAAAAATACAGCTCTCGCATATTTCGTTGCGCGAAACAGCACAGTGGTAGGGTAAGTGTGACTTTTGTGTGATACTTAAGTCTAATACAGTTTATTTATTAATTTTTTTAATGGACTGTACAACAAAATTTCAATTAATTGGTGAAAGGAAAAACAGGACAACTATCTTTAAGGAATTTCTTTTCATGAAATTAAATTTTTCATATAACATTGTCAGTATCATTTTAAAATACATACGGAGTGAGTCAATGACAGGTATAATTTAAAATCATATCTCCCATTGATTTTATTGTATATGGAACCAAAAATATATTTGAATCTGCCAAAACACGTATAATTTATAAATTCATGTAATGAATTACATCATTAATGAATTCCTACACAATACGTTTTGATATAATCATTAAATAACACGTTATTGAATGTGGTACTTATTCACTCACCCTGTATATTAATATGAACCTTTGTAGAAAAATGTCAAAGCCCTTAAAAGGAAATCGGGCAAATCTACGTGCATAACTCTGTCATTCTTCAGCCGTCTCACGTAACATTTATGAGAATATATACATATACGTATGAGAATATAATAATCGTTATAATATATTTATTGTAACATAACGTTTTATGACAGCTTTGTTATAATATTACCTTCAGTTAAGTGTATAGGTCTTTTGATTGAAGTTTTCCTTTTCTACGAATTTGAAAAAATCGAGTAATATTTTTCGTGACTTTCAACACTAACAATTAGCTTTATAAATAAATCAATTTATTTTTAAAACCTTGAAATGAAGACAAAATTATTATGAAGCTCTCAAAATAAGTGAATTGGTTAAACAATAATAATGTAGATCCACCTGTTTACTTTATTTCCTTATGAGGAATTTAATTCTT